CCGATATGCATAATAATTTTTTGAACTAACATTCTTATTTGTTTTGGCACCTGTTGCGGGATCTTTTTGTTTAATATTTATGCAATACCCGTCATTTACTACCAAAAATTAAATTAATAGTTTTTTAATAATTTAATATAATTATTAATATAATAATTAGCATTAATATAATTCATTATCAATAGCGCATTTATCGACCGGGTCAAAAAATATTAAACCAATTTCAACCCTTTAAATTCAAAATTTCGAAAAATCCTTTTTAGCGCACGTCTACATCATAATAGCAATCTGTATGCCAAATTTCAGCCAGATCCGTCTAATGGTTTGAGCTGTGCGTTGATAGCAGTCAATCAGCTTACTGTTTTATATATACAGATATTTAATATTTATGGACCATAGACTATCAATAAAATATTTTTTTCAGAACAAAACATATAAGGATTATTAATGAATAATGATGATACACAAAGAACATGAAACGTTTCAATTTATTCAATTAAATAATAATATTAAAGATAGTAAAACATTAATTTATTTACTTATCCTATAGGCGGTTACCTATCAAGTTACCTTTAATGGAATAATAATATAAATGTAATTAAATAAATACTTATAATTTTATTATTTGTATATTTTATACTATACAGAACTTAGTTATAATAACATAAAATTGTATCTTAAATATAATGTACCGTAGTTTGAGGTGAATAGGAACGATTTTAACAATTTTTTATAGATTATGAGTTCAATTTTTATGGTATACTTATCACGAAAACTGTTTTATAAAGATCACATATATAATATACCAAAAATAAAGTTTATAAAGTTCGCGTAATAACGTTTGTCATAAACCGGGGAGGAGCTAGTGTTTCCCAAATTTTAATAAATCATGAATGTGTATTTAAAAGAGAATATTATCTGATTTCTGGGGACAAAATAGTAAGGCTAGGTTCACATGGGCGCGCGTTAGTCGGCCGCGCGTGTTTAGATATACAAGTTTCTCATACATCGTTCACTTGGCGCGCGTATGCGCACGTATACGCGCGTCGATCGCGATAACGACGCAAGAATCTATTTCCGCGCAAACACGCGCGTGACTCCGCGGATTAAAATTCCATATATCATTATCGGACCGTTCAGTAGACACGCGCGTTTCGATGCGAACGATCGAATTTTCATCTATAGTTTTTGAAAACAAGTGTTATTTTAAATACGGAAATCGAAATAGATATGTTAATAAATGAAATAAAAAAAGTCCTGCCATCTGGGACATTGTCATCAGCTTCTAAAGAGTCTTTAATTATCTCCAATAGGTCGTTAAATGATTTAATGGACATTTCAAAGTAATTGAAAAATTTGTCATGGTGCTCTATTAGTTTAGGATATAATATAGCACTAAATATAATGCAATAATAATCTAAGACTTAAAGAAAGCCTTGTTTTCAAAATAGGATGAACCCAATATTTCCTTTCCGTCATTTGTCTGTATCTTATCATCCTTCGATGGACGGGCAATAAGCACACAGCATCTATCACATTCATTCTTCATGAAAATTTGAACTATACTAAGTAGTATAGTCATAGGCGTGCGCAGACTTTATTCGCAGGTTATGCAATAAGAAATTTAGGGCCCCTCACAAATAAATTTTCTAATCTTCCCTTAATTTATTTGCATTTTCTTTTAACGCATATGAGATTCAAGTTACAATCTAAGTTTTTGCATATATACTACTTAGCTTCTTTACTTCCCTTAGAATCTAAAATCACACATAGTTTTACAGTAGAATATTAAACAATGCACTGTAGAAATAAGTAGTTTGAAATTTGATTTATATTTATTAAAAAAAAATTTATTATTTATTTAAGATCAAGTATGTACTATATTGAATGCTTTTGAATAATTTTAACATATTTATAATGTTGTTATTTTATGGAGAGTACGTAAAATCTAAAGTTCAAGTCTTCTTTTTATCGGCACACATGCTTTGAATTCATCTATTACATCTTCAATATTGATTTCTGATGCCATCTTTTGCTCGATAAATATTAACATCAGTGAATCAAGACGTTCTTGTAACATAGTGTTTCTAAGTTTAGACTTTACAATAAACAATTTGGAAAAGTCCCTCTCACACGAGCAGCTTGCCAAAGGTATTGTTGCAAATTGTGTTAAAGCTTTATTGAAGTTTGAAAATATTATTTTCCGGTCGTTTTCTGATAACCAATTCAGCCATACTACAATATTTTAGTTGATAACCCTCTAATAGAAGTTCTATCAGACATATTTGTAATGAGTTTAATTTCAGACTCAAATGTAGTATTCAAATTAAATTTTTCTTTCGACATTGAAATATCATTACTATCAAGCTTTAATTGATTTAAATTTCCTGTGGTGGTAATTAAATTTAAAGTTTCTTAACTTAATAATAAATATGGGCCCCTCACATGAAGCCGCAGACTATGCAGTGGCATACCCTGCATACCCCGTGCGCACGCCTATGAGTATAGTTTTTGACAAGAACATTCCCGTACAACGCGCGTGTACGCGCGTCCATGTGAACCTAGCCTAAATAAAAATTTATTATTCACTGATTTTATCATATGATCATCGTATAAAGAATTGCCGACTTTTTAAAATTTCTTAGAATGTGGCATTTGCCATAGTCTGCACCCCCCCCCCAATGACGCCCCTGTACCCAACTGATAACAATGTGGAAATCCGTAAAATGAAAATAGCTGAATGCGATTTTTTGTAATCTATTCCCAAATTTCTGTTGAATATTATAAGTATATATTGTAAATTATTTGATTAAAAGTGCACTTCATGAAGTGGTTAAATTACATTTTTAAAAACTAGTTATATTTTCAGGTGACTTCAAACATAAGTAGAACATACATAAAAAAAAAATGGCCGCAATTATCAACGTTATAATCAAATAAAGCTACAAAAAGCCGTATATGCTGTTTGTAGGAAAGAAATGGGCGTTTCTAAAGCTTCGGAGAAGTTTGGTTTACCATAAAGCACAATTTGCAACCACGTATAATAACTTGATAATAATAAAAAAAATTAAATATCCGGAAGACTGACTGCTTTTGATTGTAACGAAGAAAAAAATCTTGTACTTGGATTAATTCAATTTGGTGAATAGGGTTTCCCATTGAAATGCAGAGGTATTCAGTCAACAGTCAAATCGTATTTAGACGGATAAAAAAAAAAAATCAAAAACAACTTGCCATGTAAGGATTGGGTAAATTCATTTCTTAGGCGAAATAATGAACTTACATTGTGAATAGGAAAAAATATTAAGCGTGTTCGAGCAGTAGTGTCCAAATCAATATTAAACCCATATTTTACGATCCCTTAAATACTTTATCTGATATCCCCTTGCTTATATTTTTAACTATGATAAGATTAATTTAATTGACGATCCGGAAAATTCTTGTAGCTGTTCGAAGAAGTACGAAACACCCCGATTATTTCCTGATTATTCGTGATTTATTATTAATTATTGATCATGTGAAATTACGTCAATAACTGTTATGACAATAAAGATAGTTTAGAATTTGTCATGTAGCTGTTTATTAACTAATTAAAAACACTTATAAAATGTTCTTTTTTTTTATACATTTTTTATAAAAAAAAAAAGATAATGTTTCTAGTTTGATTTTTAATAAAATAGTAAATAACGATGAAAATATATGAACACATCACGAATTATCAATTGCGTATTTATATCAATATTGTATTTTATACATTTCATTTTGATGCGCATTAGTAAAAGTAGCATCAACATTTAAACTTCAAATTACATATGCTTATTCCTCGTCTAATATGTAATATTATAATTCAAACGTAAATCTCATAAGCTCAATTGAATTCATGGTAGAACTAACTAACTAATCTAACCTAATTTATCAAGACAATTCTTTGTTGGCCCTCCATGAATTATAAAAACGTTCTGGTAGGTTATTTCTAATAGTCTCGCCCGGAAATTTTAGACTGACAACTGAACGTTAAGGATAAGCTTTTCTCTATCCACTATTAAATAAAAAAAAAAAACAGCAAGTAGACAAACTTATAGAATTGCTCACAATGCATCATTATGCAAATTCTCCGTTTTCAATCACTATTTAATATGACATACGCAAATTGGCCACTTTCAATTACTTTGCTCAGAAAGCGTTCTCTACGATAACTACATAGAATTCCACTGCCGAAAAAATGCTTACATTTCTGGCAAAATACATTTTATCTAAACATTAGTTTATCTCTTATTTTTTTAAAACTAATACATTTTGACCAACTATTATTATTTCTAAAATTACTTCCATATTCCTTTAATTTACTTAGTAATTATAAATAGACAAAAGAGTACTAATAAACATATCATATAACATTACAGTATAATTTGAATAAACATTGTATACAACTTGTAGATTTTATATATACTGTCATATATAATATACATATGATCATTTTAATTTTTATAAATACATGATATTAATAATGTACCTACTATAATTAACATACCCCCCCTACTTACCATAAGTCTATTCAATTTTAAAACACTCCCTTAAATGAATCCTAGATACGCCACTGCTCATTGGCAATGTTAATAAAGCAAATGAAAATACCCACCATTCAAAGTTACCATGAAGTACCAATTTATTTGATTTCTTGACAAAACAAATATCAAATAATATTAAAATATAACTTTTTATTTATAATGACGTTATAGTAAGAAATAGTTTATCGTTTTTAATGAAATGTTTTTATATTTACTTAGTTAGTATACATATTTGTGACTACAATGTGACAATAAAATAACAGAACATTTTAATAATTGTTTATTGTAAGATTCAAGTCAAATTTTAAATTGATTTAATACCAGACAATAAATCATTACTAAGGATCATATTGAATGGAAAAATAAAAATATGGTCGAAGCAAATAATTTTAACTGTATTTATTTAATAACATAAGCAGGACTAGATAAAACATTTTGGATATACATTTTTTTTTTTTTTTATTGTTACTTTGTTATCATAAATCATAAGATAGTTGATTTCTTATCAAAGGGCACAAAAATTAACAATTTTCTTTTTACTGTTAAATGTGCACATAGTATATAATAATTAGAGCAAAATATAGCAGATCATTTTTCAATATACGTTAACTTGTAACGCTAAAAGACTGCAACTTTTTTGCTAACATGATTAACAACATGACTATGCTTAATTAAATATAACTAGTATTAGATCTGAACTGGCTAAGAACATTATCAATATGATTTAATAGTTTGTCATTTAACTCATATTACATATTAAATCAAAACTGAATTCTATATTTGTTAGGAATGGGTAGTGATCGCACACCATTTTTGTTATTGGAATCTCCTTTATAAATCCCATCTCTTTGCAATGATCCTCTTCTTCCTTGCATTCCTCCTGGAGAAAATATCCTTAATTTTGATTCTACATTTGTCATCTTATTTGAATCTGGCAAACCCAAACTTGCAAAATCAATTTTTCTAGGTGGAGGTATAAAACTTCTTTGTGTATCCTTGTAAAATGAACGACCTGGAGATTCTCTAGCCATGACTCTGGGTGGATCAAGTATACTCTTACCTGGTGAGTCTCTAGGACCAACCATTATTGCCCTGGATGGGGATTCTCTTGTAATACTAGATCTCGATTCTCGGGTAACACTAATTCTAGATGGAGATTCTCTAGGCCCTGTACATGACAATTCTCTGGATGTAATATCGTCAGACTCGTGGCTGGATCTACGGTAACACCCATCTGGCGGTAAGGGTGACTGTCGAAGTGACCGTTCTAATGGTTCATACTTCACTGAGCTGGGACATTCTGTAGGTGTATTTGGAGCTGTACTAGTATCACTTGATGTATCCAGGGAATTCAAAGAATTCTTACGGCTATCACTGAAAGGACTATATTCACCTAATTTTTTTACTTCTTTAGATTTGACATCTGTATCGCTGAGACGACCATACTCTCCAACTTTACTGCTAGATTTTCTATGACGTTTAGGCCGAGGAAGTGAACTAGGAGGCAAACTGCCACATCGGCTCTCTTGTGTTTGACGTTGTGCTTGAGAACACAAACCCTGTTTTTCCAAAAGCATGATGTCATCAGCTCGGTGACCAAGGAAATTGCCAGTTACAGCCTCCAGTAGTGGTTGGGGTGTTTTCGCTTTTCGCGACAAAGAGCCCGTATGAGAGAAGCCTGGAAAACAGCAAAGACCTCTCTGAAAACAAAAACAAACACGTCCCCCCATTCAGGAACCCAATAAACGTCCAATTCTCTAACATCTTTTATTTAATTTATTTAAACCAAAATTCAAACGAAATAAGACTCATGCCTGATTAATACACTCGAAAAATAAACATTGAAGATATTAAAAAAATAAAATAAAATATTAGCGTTGCAAATACATAAGGATTTTTTTTTAATTTAATTGACAAAAATCCATATTCTAATAGTAATTATGGAACTTCTGTTAATATTTTTATCACATTATAACTAATTTGAGACTTTTCTTTGTGTAATTTTTATCAATACTACATGTTTTAAAATATTTATCAACAATTTAGTACAAAAGTAAATAACTCATAAATAGGGAGAACGTGTTAGTTACCTTACAATCACAAGCCAATTAACGGCATTTAAATGTAAACATTTTATTAATTAAAAACTCACACAAATAAAATATAGTAACGAGTACAAACTAAATAGACAAAAACAAAAAACGTTTGTTATATTTTTAAACAAGACAATATTTAACAATTAAAACAAATATATAACATCAGAAACTGAATCAGGGTAAGATGATTCTGCAACAGTGCTGTTTACCTTGTTCAGTAGCTGTGAGTCTAATTCTTTTAATTGATCATCTAATGATTTATGATCAAAACTTTGATTTGCAGATGAATACTTATTACCATGATGATGATGATAAGTACTGTCCACACTACTTGTATATGAATTGTTTGAGCCAAATCCTAAAAAAATAATAATAACTTTAGCGTTTAAATACTCAAATAAATTAAATTAAATGGATAATGTTGTTATTAAATATAGATATACAAAAACAAAATTAAAATATAAATTAAATCTTATTAAATATTGACTTTACATTAAATTATTTTATAATTTACGAGTATAAAATAAACAAAGTAAATTTGATTTAAGTTGATAAACATAAGAATCTGAAAATCTAAGGGAAGAATTTTATTTTATTTGTAACACTTTAAAAAAAAATATCAAAAAAATATTTAAAAAAAAAACCAATAATAAATAATTACAAATCATTTTATGCATTTTAATGAATCATAGTTATTTTTTAAAATTGAAATGGCTCTTATTTAGTCAATTTTGAATTTAGAACCAAAGTTGATACAACAAAATTATTTTTAATAAAAATAGGCCTATTCAAATATGATGTTACAAAATAGGTTTTGCTATTTAAAAGAACACATTTTGAACTGTGCATGCACATATCAAAATGATAAATAATTTGATATGTCTATAAATGTGTTTTTATATACCACTAGCTTGTATAAAAAAATTGATTTATACCAATGTAATCTGGCAGAAAATTTCAGTGTTCCCTAAATTAGGGAACACATGGTATATATCAGTTAGTTTTCAATATATTTTTAATCACAACCCCCAAATTTTACCTTTTTTTTTTACGAATAATTAATAATAGAATATGAAATTTTTTGAATATGTATATTTAAATAAATAAATAATATGTAAATGTATATTAACCATTTTCTTGTTTTAATGGAAAACTTGTGCTTGAATTTTTTGAAACTATAGTATCCATATTAATTTTTATATTAGAAATGGCTTAATATATTTTGATATGAATAACTATTTGTCTTTAATTTTTGGGGATCCAAAACTATCTTTTCTAATCCCTAAGGGGATTGTAACCCTCAGGTTGAAAATCACTGATATCATGTTGTGCAAAAATTAACTAAGTGTATTTTTATAGTTTTATAGTTTTTGATAATTTAAATTTTAGTTATAAATATACTTTGAAAACTACAGTTTATATACATTTATATTAAACTTACCTAAAATATTAACTAAAAATGAATATATTTTTCAAATAAAAAGTTTTAAAACTAGAATTGATATTACCAAAAGTTATAAAAATAAACATAGTCAATTTCTGTATGATGACAATGATATATTAATGTTTAATGTACTATAACTTCAAAAATAAAATATATTAACATAATATGATCAATATTTATGCTATTATAACAAACTATATACCAAGGTCATCAGAAGTTAAATCTGTAGTATTAAGACTTGAGTGTGGAGTATGATGACCAAGACATATACTTGGATATGAACCAGAGACATCTTTTTCAAAACTATGTTTTTTTTGCAACACTCTTATCATTGCATCACGTTCGGCCAATCTTGATTCCAATTCTTTCATCCTAAAGTCAATCATTAAAACATACAAATTATAATAGAATATAATCATTTATTCAAATACATAGTTATAAAATGTAAATACCGCGATTCCAGTTCGCTGACTTTTTTTTGTGCTGTATGTACTTCTTCCATTTGTTTTAACTTATCTGACCGCGCTTCTGCAATGAGTTTTTCACTTTCTTGACCGGTTTTTTCTAATGCTGCGATTTTTGCATCCCTAACATAATAAGCTTATGTAATTCACAATATATTTTTTGGTTGTAAATTATTTACTTTGGTATACTTGCTGCATCTATAGCAGCTTGCCTTAATTCACTTTCTTCTAAATATCGTTGTTCCCATTTAGCAACTTCACCTTCTAGTCGCATTATTTTTTCATCTTTTTCACGAAGCATACGTTTCAGTTCGGGCAAACTTTCACCAGGCTCATTGTCTAAAATTGTAACATATATTAGATAAACTATATAAACTTACAATACTTACAAGACTAACCAGTTGAACCATCTTGAGAAGTGTTATTGTGGCGTCCTCGTTCATTCCGCAGTTCTCTTTCTAATTGCAGTCTTAATTTACGTTCAGTCTGCTCACGTCGATCACTAGCTAGTTGAAGAGAAGACAATGCTCTTTGCAGATGGGCAACTCTTTCTACATGAACTTGCTTTTTACGACATTCTTCTTCTAGACGAACAACATTGGACTGAGCATTAGTTAATGCTGTGTCCAATATATCAATATGAGTACGTTGTTCTTCAAGTGTAGCACGTTGAGCAGCCAATTCTATTTCTTGGCGGTCTTTAGCAGCTAACAAGTCTTTATCTAAAATAAAATTAATTAATAAATATATATTTAATAAAATAAAAGAATAAATTTAATAACCTACTTTGAGTTATCAATTGAGCTATTACAGTTTCACGTTTTACCATTTGGTTAGAATCTACTGTATTTGAGGAAGACAATGATTGATCACGTAAAGCACGGTTTGCTTCTTGTAAACGTCTAACTTCAGCTTGAAGTTTTAGTCTAGCTGTTCGTTCAAGTCTTTCTCGTCTTTCACTTGATTCTACAAGTTCCTGATGAGAACGATATACTTTGGAGACTTCTTGCTCAAGCTAATAAAACAATTAGATAACTGTTCATAAAACATGCCTTTAAAGTATAAATAAAAAAGTTGAAAACCCATTACTAAATTTAAGTTGATTCAGTTGTCAAAACAAGTACAACACGTGAACAATTTAATATAAGCAAGTAAATATTTACCCTGTATGATTTGGCAACTTTTTGATGGCATGATTCCAATTCTATTTTCAGACTTTTGTTTTCCATCATTAAACAGTCAACTATAGACAACATTTTTTGATCTTTTCTGGAACAATAAAAGATAGATTTAATATTTTGTTACATTTTAATTTAAAAAATATCACCAATTACCTAGTATTTCCTAATGTATGTCTCATGGGATCTGTTTCAGAACGTTCAACTTTCAATATTCCTGTACCCAGATTTGGTTGAGACTTTGATTTAACCAAATTTCTTATAGGAACTGGTCGATATTCTGATAACCATGAATTTTTATCTGTATCATGCCATCGAGATAAGTTAATATCACGTCTTGAGGGATCTACCTTGACTTCTTTGGCAAGATGCTTTAAAACCTAAAAACATGAATTCTTCATTACTAACCAAACACATTAATTATAATATAAAAATGATATCATACGTGTGACTGACTCAGATAATCATCTGGTATATTGGTTATTTCTCTTACACCCATATCAATGTTCTGTCGCCCCCCATTTTTATTTCCCTGGTTTTTTATTTCTTCTCTATTTCCATAACGATATTTAGGTATACCAGAACTAAATCTAGACCCATCATCGTTATGAATAATTAAAGTGTCATAAGCTGATGATGTTGATATGGTGAAGTCTTTATGTGTCTCTTGTCCTTGAGGTTCTTGTCTAATTGCCGTTCTGTGACCATTGTTAGTGTCATCAAATGATTCACTCTCACTACCGCTATATTCACCATTCAAAACTAAAATACAAAATTTAGCACATATAATACAATTATTATTACAATGTACCAGTAGTGTCCAACCCACGGCTCGCGGGCCACATATGGCCCACGAAAGTATTCTATGTGGCCCGTTACGAATTTTCTAAAATAAAAATAAATTTTAAAAATGTATAAAAACATTTTTAAATTATTTATTTTCATATATTATTTTAATATAAATTTATGAATTCGATTAAATAATTATTCCAAAAAATACCATTATAATGATAATAATAAAATTAAAAACTATATAAAAATATTATACTCTTATTTTTAATGTGAAATTTGAGCTTATACTCCTTTTACTAAAAATAAAAAATCTGGTTGAAATTTAGTGGTTCCAATCCTCAAAATTGAATAAAGGTGTTTATCCGTAAGTCGCGATCTATGAACCGATTTTGTTTGTTTCATTGGTGAAAGTATTTGTTTGTATATATATATATATATATATATATATATATACGTCCAGCCAAATACATTATAAAGTCTCTTAAAGCAGGGATATCTTCATGTGGAAGTTTTAAATAAAATATCGTCTTGTTTCATTTTTTGAAATTCATCAAAGTAAAATGAATTTGTTTACAACTCAATAACTTCAAGTTGAAGAAAAGTGTTGACATTATTTTCATCAATATTAAATGGATTTTCAAATAAACGTCACGATTTTTCGTGTAATTTAACATAATGAAAAATCGGTTTCCGACTTCTTTAACATTTCTACAAATCTATTTGTTGGATATAACGGTTTTGTTTCATTTTTAAACATTTGGCAGTTTTCATAATGGCTAAAGTCACTGCGCTCAATTTGATCAATAAATAATTTTAATATTGCATCAAATGCTTTAACAGTATTATACATGTCAAATATAAGTTTTCCAGGTCCTTATAATTTTAAATTTTAAATATTTAAATGTAGGTACTTAAAATAACGTACTGATCAAATTAATTTGTACCTACGATGTATACCTCAATTCATAATCTTTTCAATGGACAATAAAAGATAAGAAAACAAGTCCAATATATAAGATTATTTTTGTACTTTTATACTTTATGGCCCGTTTGAAGATAATTGTAAAGTGGCCCACCAAAGGAAAAAGGTTGGGCATCACTGCAATATATATTACATCAATTTTAATTGGCATGCAAAATAATTTATTTTAATATTTTCAGTGTTTGACTCAAAATGAAAAATTCTCAAAATATGTACGATTTCATTTCGATATATCTTATAATAATATAATTTATTTATATATTTATATTTAATTATAACATTTATATTTATTATAAAAATGTAAATACTAAATTGTTTAGGCTATAAAAATAAATAAATAATTAAATGAAAATATTAAAATAAGTGTTAAATTTTATATTGTTTTATAGAAACCACAATAGAACATAAAAGTATATACTATACAATTATATTTAATTTTAAAAAAAATGGTTAGCTGAAAATAAATAAAATGAATAAAATAAATAAATAAAATGCTACTTCAAAATAAAAAAATTAGAAAAATTAATAAATGAATGAATTCAATTTAATGAAATTTTACCACATGGATTTCAGGCTGTCTCATGAAATAATATTTTTAATACAATGAATAAAATAGATAATATTAAACTTATTCAACCTTCTATTTTTATTTTAAATATTTGTTGTGATTACATTTTTAACTTTACCATAATATTAAAAAAATTAAGCAACAATGAACCTAACATAAGACTAAGTATTAAATCATGATTTCCTTCAAAACAAGAGAAAAACAACGAAGTATTATATATTTTACATCAACAATATTTATTGTATGTTCTAAACGAAAGAGAAAAATTTTAAATTAAATTCATTTGACGTTTGATTTCCTAAATGTTAATTTTAATTCAAATCGAACTATAACAAACAACGAAGTCCATCAATAAGTTGTTCGTCATTAATTAGATAATATAATAATAATAATAATTATTATTATTATAAAAATCATTCATTAACTATTTCAAGTCCTTATTAAAGCAGCAATTAATGCATTTTTAAACAAATATTGTTTCAAGTTAAGTCTTTTCATTTTTTTTTTTTTTATTTCGGCCTTTAAGACCATGCCGCTAAATACTAATCTTGCCGTCTGTCCCTATAATCCGCTGCTTTTCTCCATCTTATTCCTGGTCCTATCGTATTTATGTCCTTTTTCACACAGTCTTCCCACCTGAACCTGGGTCTCCCTAAAGGTCTTTTCCCTATAGGCTCTTCCTCTATTACTTGCCTTATTAAAGAACCTTGCTTACGCCAGGCATGCCCCCTCCCCCACATGAGTCTTCTTTTTGTGATCTCTTTAACTATATCAGGTCTCTGAAACTGCATTTGGAGTTCGTAATTATGCAATTTTCACCGTACATTTGTTTCACTATCTAAGACCGATCCATATATTTTTCTTAAAACTTTCCTCTCAAATACCCCTAGTCTTTGTTCTTCAGATTTTCTCAATGCCCAAGTCTCAAAACCGTACAAGACTATAGGTCGTAATAATGTCATATACATTCTTATTTTTAAATTTTTAAAAATGGTTCTAGATTTTAGTATTATTTCTAATCCGTAGTATCCCTTATTAGCTAATTGTATTCTCGACGACACCTCTGTCTTAAGTTCATTATCTTGAGTGATAATTGATCTCAGATATTTAAACTGTGACACTCTTCTAAATATATATCCTTCTAAATCAATATGCTGTTCTGTTTCATATTTCTGTTATTTCGGCTGACAATTAAGTATTCCGTCTTATCGTCGTTAACAGTTAATCCAACTTTCTCCGCAGTCTTTACAAGTTTTTTTCCCAGACTTTTTATCGTCTCGATATTATCTCCTAAGAGAACGATATCATCCGCGTATGCTATAAGTCCTATTGTTATCTGTCCCAGCTCAATTCCTTCTGAAACATTCATTTTTCATACTATTTTTTCCAGTACCAGGTTAAACAATACTGGGGATAGTGCATCCCCTTGCCGATGACCTGTTGTCACCCTCACAGACTGTGATATTGTGTTTGCTATCTTAACCTTTATATCCGTCTGATTGATGCTGGCTCCAATGAGGTTTACAATCTTACTTGGAAATTTAAATTCTTTTAGTATTTGTATTAGACTTTCTCTATGGATAGAATCATAAGCTTTTTTAAAATCCACAAATAATATGTGTAAGTACATCCTTATTGTATTCCCAACTTTTTTGGAGGATCTGTCTTATTGCAAAAATCTGATCCGTTGTAGATCTATTGAGCCTAAATCTTCCCTGGTAGTCTAGTAAAATCTCTGCTATTGGCAGAGATTTTACTCTATCCAGTATACAATATGCTAGGATTTTATATGTTGTGTCGAGTAATGCTATACCCCTATAATTATTACATTCTTGTGGGTCATTTTTTTTATGAATAGGACAAACTAATGCAGTGCTCCATTCCTTCGGAAGTCTTTCTTCATGACAAATACTTTCAATGTACTCTATTTATTGTTCCCTCATCCAGGTTTTCTAGTACTTCTCCTTGGATTCCGTCCTCCCAGGGCTTTTATGGTTTTTTAGCCAGTTAAATTGTTATAATATTTCCTTTTTGCTCGGAGGCGGATAATCAGTGTCATTAGATTCCGTTAGTATCAAAGTAAATATCTCGACTGGGTTCTCACAATTAAGTAATAATCCAAATTACTGTTTCCATTTTTCCAATACCTTGTCTTGTTCTGTCACAAAGGAATCATTGTCATTTTTAAGGAACTTATTATGTTTTTTGTACCCTCCTCTAATTGATTTTATCTTCTAGTATAGTTACCGAGTTCTATTTACTCTATGATCAATCTCGATTTCCTCTAATACATCTTTTGTGCATTTCCGTTTTTCATATCGAAATATATTATTTGCTTCTTTTTGGCATTTTTTGTATGTCATCACTTTCTCTTTATTAGTGGTGGAAGAAGTGTTACCCTGGTGACAGCAGTAGCCACTCAGGGGGAACTCAACAATGTGTTGAAAATAAATAATAAATATAAAAAATAGAACAAATGCAAATTAAAGTTTAAGTGGACTGTATAATAAAATAATAATAATAAAAATAACAGTAATAGTAATAGTAATATTAATGTGAATAATAATAAAAATAATGCATTAGATTTGGTACCTTAGCCACTTTGGCTCAAAAACATATATAAAAAAAATAATATAATAAATGTATAATAGAAATGTGAAAATGAGATCTTGAGATATTGCTAGATTAATTATATAAACAAAGGAACTATGTAAGGCACGTCTGCCACAAAAACGTAAAAAAACAACAGTCGACAAATGATACTCACAGCATTTAACTGCAGTGGACAGTGGGTTTAATCCCTACGCTACCGCACCGGGGAATGTATATAATAATGAAATAATACAATAAAAAAACACAATACGCGGGGTACGTGCGCTGCACAACTACAGTTAAAGATGAAAAATTCACGCTTCGATACCCACTGTGCATTTAAAGTTACAAAACATCGTTGCGATGTAAGCTTTATGTTTCAATGCTAACATCGCACTCAATGTTTCAAAAACATTGCAGGGTTGTATAATTAAAACACTATTTTAGGGTTTGTTCCATCAACATCAAATGTACCTGCAATTTACAACGTTCTAGAAACAAGTTTCTGTAACGTTATCTTGATGTTTCTTATTATTTAATAGTTGACATTGTATAATCTACAACTATTTGTTTTT